TAATGATATTATTGTTACTATATTTTCTAGATTAATTAAAACAATTGAAAAATTGTTATTTATTAGTATAAATAAAAAAAGCTCATAAGTAATAAGTGATTCGTATTGAGTTATTTTTTGAGACGAGAAATCATATTTATATTGAACTCAAATTTTATTTTAAAGATGGATTGACACACAAGTTAAGAGTCAAATTTTAATATTGATGATCATGTTATTGTATACATTCTTTATAATGGAAAGTAATTATTAATTTGATAAAAAATTAAATATATATAAATAAATATTTTTCCCATATAATTTATTTTATATTTTAAATTTAGCATATTATGAAAAAAGGGAGTTTTTTATTGAAATTATATTTTATTTTAAATATATAAATTAGTTAAAAAGCTTATAAATTAACTTTATCTAATTTTCCTAACGTATTTCATATGTTTCAATAATAATAATAATAAAAAAAAGAGTACATGATCCAAGTCAAATATCTTGGAATTTAATCTAAGAAAATATATATCTTAGATTAAAAAGATGATTACTAGATTAAACAACTCCTATTTATGTGATATGGAATATTAGATTTGATGATTTTACTTAGAGGGTGCGATGAGCATAAAAATAATCTTATACTCACTTGTTTTTAGTAAGTTCATTTCGAAGAAATATGTTTATTAATTCTAAAACTTTATAAAAGGTCAGACAACTTTTATTTTCACTTAACTTTTATCTCTTTAAATTTTTAGAACACTTTAAGTTCTCTCTAAAAATAAGATATTAAAAATTTGTTCAAATTAAAGGCGAGAAGAGGTTGGAAGTACAGAGGAATTCTACTCATATTAAAAGTTATTTTAAGTAAAATAATTCCTCCCAACATATATATATATATATATATATATATATATATATATATATATATATATATATATATATATATATATATATTGGAATTCTAAGGTTAAAAGAAATAGTTGATAACTGAGAATAATTATTGGTATATGGGAATGTTATCTAGAAAATAGTAAGAGAATAACTGTTGTTGATTTACTCCGGAGGAGGTTTCTTAGGAATAAGAATAATCCTAATAAGAAAAATTAATATTTAAAAATAGTATTTCTATTAAGATTAAGTATTTTTAAATTATTGTTAATGATATTATTTTAGTACAAAATATGTTAGAAAGAGATATTTTTAGATTATATATGATGTTTCAATGAGTGTATAACTTATGATATGACGATGTTTTGCTTGGAATTATATCTAGTATAGTATTGGTTTTATTAAAACTTCTTTATTTCATTGTCTTGCCTTTATTATTCTTGGTCACAATTTAAGAGTAGTATTAAAAACTTGAATAACTTAAAAACATATCTTTATTATTGATTATGGGGACCAAATAATATATTATTAAAAAATAATAAATAAATATAAAATGGTGAAAGAAAATGAAATGATGAGAGGATAAAATTGTAAATGTATAAGTAAATATATAAAATAATCATTAAGCTTGGCGGTAAAATCATAAATTAAATGATAGTTACAAAAACTGAAGAGAGACTGAGACGATAAAATTGTAAATATACAAGTAAATATATTATAGTTTTGGAGACCAAAATTATAAATTATATGGGAGTTACAAAATTTTAGGGGGTCACGGTCCCTTTAATTTTCGAGAAGATCCACCACTAGAAGAGACGATTCAAATAGTGACAATTTTCTCAAATGACTAATTATCGGTTGATAAATGTGTTATTTGATAGTAGTTCGTTAAATCAACAAGTTGATGCTCAAGTCAATAATGATAATTTTAAAAGATATAATTGATATAACAATTGTCTGACTCAAGTAACTTGTATAATATTAAAGAGAAATTCGTCCATAAAACAGAAAATACGCAAAACAAATTTGAACAGAGAAAAGAGAAAATATGAATTAATTTTATTTGTTATTTGCTCAAGTGGCCAAAGAGGTACTTAAGGGGAATAAATAAAATAAAAATACTTGTTCTCAGGAGCACTTCCTTAAGCATTGAGAAGAATGCTCAAATCAAGTGGCCTAGAAGTGAAGGGTAGTATATGTACATGCTACTTAGGTGACTAATGTTGGTAGATTCAAGGTTTGTATCTAAATTCTATTGATAGTCTACAGTCACATAGAATAAAAGGTAGTGATGCTCTAAGATGTGTAAACACTAGTTCAAAGATAGGGTTGTCATGATTTTGACCTTATGTATAAGAGTAGCCAAAATAGTACTATAGAATTAGAAATCTAATTAATTTTGTAAAGTAACTAACATGAGACAGTACAGATGTTATCTTCAAATTTGGTAGTTAGTATGGTGAAAGTAATATAATGAGACGGGATTATGTTAAAAATTCTATTATCTTTTAATAATTAATTTATCTTATATTTTCAATCGATATATTGAAACTATAATAATTATATTTTCCATCATATCATATAATTTTAAAGATGAAAAGAATACTTGATATATGTATATTTTTATGTTTTGAATAAGTAATGTAATTTCATACAAATAAGAATTATTTTGTTGGTTAGCCAAAACATTTGCATGCGAATGAATATCGTTAAATTATTAATTACTTTTAATTCTTTTTCAGATTCCATATTTATCAAAATAATTTTCTTTGTAATTTTTTTATGTTCAACCTTTCATTTATTTTTTTAAATTACCTTGTCTCCTTATTTAAAACTGCTATATTTTTTAGTTTATTTATTTAAATTACATATATATATATATATATTAAAAATGTAAATATTTAGCTTAAAATTACGTGTATAATTAATTATAAACAGGATAATTGAAATCTCCTATCTTTGGTAGTCTTGTTGACTGCAAAACAAGAATAAAACTTCTGATATTATCTGTTTTTTTTCACATTGAAAATTCCTTTATTTTATCCTATTCAGTATTTGGATATAATTGAATTTGATTAAAATTGTAATTATTTTTTAAACACTTTTTCAGCTTTAGTCATAAAAAATGGCGGCACCATGGTTTCTTTTGAGCGTTCTTGGCCTTTTGATTTAGTTTGTAAAGTAAGCATGAAACCAACACCCAAAGGATTATTATTTGTCATAAAACAAAGCAAGCAATTGCTGATGGCAACGTTGGACAGTTGTATTGATTATTTATTTATATGGTGGATGATGAAGGAAGTAGTGATGCCTCATTTAAGAAGATTCCTTTAATTAACTTATCTTCTAATAGGATGATGATCTTTTGACAACCAAAAGAAAAAATAACCAAAAAACAACCTAACTTATTAATATAATAATCATAAAAAAATTTAAATAAAAATAAAAAATAATTAAAATTATTATTATAATATAAAAATTAGTTGTTTACAGGATTGTTTAATGAATATTGGTGTCAAAATATCTTTTTCCCTTCTAATAATATTATCGCCTCTGCTTTTGTATGTATTTCCTCAACTTTTTCTTTCTTGCCATTAATGATTGGCTCAGGTACACCGCAACGCTGATTTCTTCGAAACATGTATTCAACTCATGATCTGATATAGTGATGATGGAAAATAATTATATTAATCACATTGTTTATTAGCATAATAACATATCATATTATTCCAATTATTTTATAATGTCACTGCTATTTCCAATCCAGGTTATTGTTTGAATGATAAATTCGTTTTACGTGAATATTCTTGCAACTCAACTCTTTGATAAGTATATATCTCAAACTTAATACCTCTACACCAACACCTAGGTAGCATTCCTTTATAATCAAAATAATATCGATACTAACTAATCTTTTCCTTATTTTTGAAATAGCTAAGAAAATATTTAGAATATTAAAAATAACAAACCCATTCCAAACCATGATCAGACATGTTAACTCTTAACTTTTAAAGAGAAGTTAAAGAAATTATTTTTGTAGTGGGATAAAGTTTATTATAAAAATAAAATAATTTAACATTTTGTTTATAATTTTTTTTAACAAAAGATAAATTATTTGTTTAGAGTTTAATAGTTTAGTGAATTCCGTATAAAATTAAATTTAAATTATTATCTAATCATAAATTAATCATTAGTATTTTTTAATATAAAATTATGGTAAAAATAAATAACTTATCATGTCGAGTTATATGTGATTTTATCATCGAATAAAATTGTCATAATGTCATCGGATGATTTAACTTACCACTGGTTCAATTAATATTTAAAAATTCATTTGAAGGTATGACTTTTACATGCAAAAAGTTACAAAACTACCCAAGGAAAATTCCATCCATCTATTAGAAAGAATCCAAGTGGTGAAAGAAAACAAGGGAAGATCCCGATCAATGTCATTGGATTTAACATAATTCTGCCCAGAATTTGTAAATTACTTTGCTTCTGCACTAATTTAAGCTCCAACGAAACATCTGCTTTATGACTTTCATCATTGTAATAAACTACAAACACCCTTACAAGGCACAGAAAGACAAAGGGTATCACAAGAACTTTGTTTGCAAGCAGTTAAAAAACTTAAAAAACGGCAAATGGGTAGAAGTTTAAAGTTGCTAAGGACTAGTTTGATCCTTTACACGAATTGAGGGCAACCAAGAGGGATCAAAGTGCCCAACTGGCTTAACTAGGAGCCATTGTGGATAGCCAACACTCCTCTGGTGGATAACCTCTCCATATTCTTGTTTGCATCCAATATCCAATTTTGGATAATTTAGCTTTATAAATTGACCCTAGGGGCATTTCAATGTTTTACATAGACAAATCCAAAAGGGTATGGAAAGAAAAAAAGGATGAAAGGCACAGCACTCTTAGGACATGAATAAATGTGCCACCAGCTCAGCTTGTACCTGGCTTATGTTTTGGTGGCATGGCTCTCAGTTCAGCTATAGGTGACACCAAAAGAAATGGACCTTATATCCATGGCTAAGAACAACCAATATTTAAGAATAAGAACTTTAAACAATAAAATAAAATAGCAGACAACCCCACTTGATAATGACCCACCAATCCATATGTTTGAGAAATTTGACTTTACCAAATTGCCCTTGAAATATGCCTTACTCAATCCGAGTGGAGAATCAAGAAAACAGTGGCATCATCAGACTTTGGTCAGAAGAGGAAGGTTTACCCTACACTTTCCAACACTCAGTTTATTAATATATTTAGCAAAACTTTTGTTAATCTCATTTAATGATACTAATGAAACTCTGTGTAGACAATGAGACACATTATTTAATAGAGATTAAACTATTCCCATGATTCTTACAGTTGTTTCATTTTCATGTTTAACCCCGTATAAAGAAAACGGTAAGTTTTATAGATGTTTTCTGAGAGTGAGAAACTTTTACCAAGAGTTATGTGGAGCAAACTTAAAATGTGAAAAACTTCAAGATTTTAAAACGATAGCAACTTTAAAGATGAAGTGAATAGTTAGCTTTGGTTACAAATCTGGGTGAATAATTATTTAACGCTTAAGAAAACATAAATGAATTTGATTCAAGAATAATAATAACAGTAGCAGTCTAGGGTGGGTGGAATCTGAAGTAGCACTTGGCACTAGATGTGGAGGGCAAGGCTAAGGGAGGTAGAGGACCCACATGAAAAATCTGTTGTAAATCCGACAAATAAAAAAACATATCAGTAATAGAAAGTCCAGAAGAATAACGGCCAGAGGGTGGAACCTTTCACTTGAAGAGTTTATAGCATTAGTACATGTAGAGAGAGAAAGAGAAAAAAGAAGCATTTCCTTAATAGCAAGACAAAGGAAGGAATAGTTGGGAATGCAGTTAGTTTGAGCAGGTTCCTGAGCCAAATGGATGCAAACGTGGACGAATTTGAGGCCGTTGGATGAAGGGGTGGCGTAGGATTCTCAGTTGAGTACACGTGCTGTCCCTCTCTTTACCACCCCTTCTTTTTTTTTTTTCTTCTTTATTTGTTTTTTAATCTTTGCTTCCATGCATGGATTTCTCCTCCTAATATAGTCATGTTTAGAGAGAGAAAGAGAGAGAATTGGAGAAACAAACGCTCACTCACTCACTCACTCTTGTTTGTTCTTTTCTCCCTTGGCTTCCTCATCGATCTCGCTATCATTAGCAACAAAGGTAAGACACACAACTCCTCTCCACCTCTTCCAACTTTGATTTTTTCTTCAAAATTCAACTTCCCAAAGGACACGAGCTACTGGTACTGGTGGTAGTATTCTCAAGAAGCTTTATAGTTTATATAGTTTAGCATACTACTACACGTTCTCTTGTCCCTTTTCTTTTCCTCTTTTCCTGCCTTAGATCTTGCACTCACCTTCTAATTTTTGTGTGAAGCCAGACATGGGGTTTCTCTTGTTCTTCTCTCCCACCGCTTCCAAGATGTTATGCTGATCTGTGGTCTTGCTATTTCCCCTTGTGATCCTTTTGTGTTGATGATCAAGAAGTGTGGTTAATTTGGCTTTGTTGCTGATCCCTGCGTGTGTCTTCGGTTTCTTGAATATCCAATGGAAGAAGATCAAGAAGTGAAGCACGTGTGCAAGTTCTGCAGCAAGAGCTTCCCTTGTGGGAGATCCTTGGGAGGTCACATGAGGTCACATGTCACCAATGTTTCAACCGAGACAGAGAAGCTTTCATCTTTCAACAACAACAGCAACAACAATGGTGGAGAGAGAGACACCGGAATAATGGGTTCTGAAGGGGGAACTAGCAATGGAGGGTATGGTCTGAGAGAGAACCCGAAGAAGACTTGGAGGTTCACGGATTCTAGTGAGGACACTTTGTTGGTGTTGGACAAGTTGTGCAAGGAGTGCGGCAAAGGATTTCACTCTTGGAAAGCTCTGTTTGGTCACATGAAGTGCCACTCTGAGAGGGTGTCCCAAAACAACAGCAACTTATTGGAGGATCAAGATTCGTGGACTGATAATACCAATGCTAGCCAGAAGATGGTGTTGGATGATAGCCACTCTGACAATGAAGCCACTGCTCCAAACCGAAGGAGAAGATCTAAGAGGAGAAGGACAAGGTACGTGGCCCCATCAACTTCTTCTGTGTCCTTTGTTTCTGAGGCTGAGCAGGAGCAGGAAGAGGTTGCCATGAGTTTGATGATGCTTAGCAGGGATGTGACTCCTTGGTGTGGTCTCAATTCTGTTAACTCATTGCACTTTGAATCTCCTTCGGTTACAACCAATTTGGATTCTAAGGCAGAGGGCAAGAGCGTTGTCTCCAATGGTTCTGAAAAAAAGGTTACCAAACTAAAGGATGTGAAGGGGGAATTTGGCTATTTGGATGCTTCAAATCTCAACTCCAAAGGTAAAATAAGCTCAGTACTTTTGGGTACTGAGAGTCCTGGATTTGTGGTCAGCAAGACTTTGGTTTCCATCCATGGGAATGACAAGAAGACTGAGCTAGATTCTAATTCTGCATTTGAGGACAATGAAATAGATGATGATAGAAATAATAAGTACACTTCAATCAAGGCAAAGTATTTGGATTCTGAATTGAAGGCAAGTTCTTCGAAGAGTTGGGTGAAGAACAAGTCTCCAGAAGCTGAATTGAGCAAAAGCTCCAACAAGAGAGGAAAATTTGAGTGTACTACTTGCAAGAAAATCTTCCATTCATACCAAGCACTTGGAGGTCACAGAGCTAGTCACAAGAAAATCAAGGGATGCTTTGCTTCAAGAAATGAGAGCAGTGAAAACAGCACTGAGTTGGAAGCAGACCTCTCCCCTGACCCAACAACAGAAAGTAAGCTCGTGAAGAATGAATATGTGGAAGAACATGAAATGGTTACTGTTACTACTACTACTACCACTACTACTGGTTTTGACAATGCGGAAGACATAGTGAGAGAGTCCAAGAAGGGGAAAGGGCATGAGTGCCCAATTTGCCTCAAGGTTTTCCCATCTGGCCAAGCCTTGGGTGGCCACAAGAGATCTCATTTGCCTAGTGGGTCTGAGAATGCTAGAAACTGTCAAAGTCAAACAGTTGTACTTGAGGGAGCAAGCCCAGAGATTAGGGACTTTTTTGATCTTAATCTTCCTGCTTCTACAGAGGAAGAAGGTAATAGCCATGGCCATGCTGAGCCTTACAGACCTTGGTGGGTAGTAGGAGGCAGCGTCAAGCAGGAGGCACTGGTAGGCCTCATTTCTAACTAAACTAAACGTATCATAGTTCATTCCAGCAGAGGTTTCAAGCCTCAAATCAACTTCAGAGTGAAGATTTCAAACTGTATAGAAAAGCTTATGCACTTATTTCATTAATTCTTTACAGGACTCATGTCTTCTTTGAGGTACTTCTGTTATTCTTCTAGTAGTTCATAAGGAACTTTTCATCCGTTTCTCTTTTTATTTTCTATATTTTTTTGGTGGGGTGATATTTGTTAGTTACTTACTTTGTTCATACTTTAAGGAATAAGTTCCTTGCTGCAAATTTTAGCCTCATGATTTTGGTCATCCTTGAAACTTGAGGAATTTGTAACAGACTTCTAACACTGTTGTGTTGTTTTCACTCACTTTCCCCCCTGGCAAATTTTATGAACATAAATTGTTGTGTGAAATTCCAAAAGTGACACTTTGGTGGGTAATTATCTTTTCTTTGCATCAAAGAGAAATGAATGAGGTGTTGAAAAATTGGATAGGTACTGGACGTCATAACACATGACATGAGGAGATAAAAAGGCAAGGTTTTTATAATAAACATAAAGAAGGCATGTGAGCTGAAGGTGGTTGTTTAGTCACCTACCATAAAACCTGACCACCCATCTATCTCTAGTTTCCCTCTCTCACTGCCCACACAAGTGGTGTGTTATTAAATCCTTCTCACTAATTAATCTTTATGTACTCAGTATCCAATCTCATAATAATAATTCACGAGGGTGGTGGGGCTGGACCACAAATATGCAATTACTAATCATAATAATACATTTAACTTGTCACAAGCTGCTGCTAGCTTAGTAACTACAATGCTGCAAACTGATAAAAGATAACTTTTTCAAAATTTCAACCTTTCTTTTTTCTTTCCTTAGAACTCAATTTTGTTATATTGATAACTCTATGATAGAATAGATCATGGAGTGCCCTGTAGATGAAAAAGAAAACAAAAGTTGAGATCCTAATATAATCATTGTAGAAAGGGTGTGATGCAAGAATTGGGACCATTGGGCTTGGATATGTGTATTAATGTGTCAGGGCCAACTACATGGTGCAGCTTACAAAACGGCACTTGTTGGCAGAGCTACAGGGTTTGATCACTGCCACAGGATGGGGAGCCTTTGATTTACTTAGCTGTAGTAGCTGGCATTGTTCCACTGCTTTGTCAACTAGCACAAGTAATTTAACTGCATCTGAAGAATTCTAAACTGTTCTATATAGGGTATATATATTCATATAAAAAAATCATTTAATTTCTTAATTGAACTTATCTTCAAATTTCTGCAGGGTCATTGCATAAAGGCTAGAAACACTATATCTTTCTGCATGACCTTGCACTGAATCAAATGTTTATAACAAAGATTTGAATATAGTGTTTTTACATATTACCAAAGTTTTTTTTTGCAAACTCACTTTTATGGTGTGTTTATATTTGTGCCAAATTTCGTTGCACGTGTACTGTCTGAAAAAATTTGACCCAGAAAGTAGAAAATGTAGATGTAAATGAAGTTTTCTATTATTTATTTTTCATTTACTCATCGAATCTTAAATCGAGATCTATGTTGACTAAGAGAAATGTTAAAAAAATTAAAATAAAAAAGAAAAATGAAGAAGTGATTAAGAAGTTGCAGGTGAAACAAACAATAAGAAGCTAAAATACTAAACAGTGTGTCAACTTGTATAATTGTGATCTGTTTATTATAAGTACCAAATAAAATAAAACTGAAAAGTACAAACTAATAACTCTTTATCATAATTGACTTTTCTTAGAAAAGAAATATCGATCACGTAAAACAGTGGTTAATGTTTGAATATATGAATGTTTTTATACATATTAGTATGTTAATTTGAATATGTTTAATTTTTAATATAGTAAATTTGAATTGATCCATTGAAGATTTTGTATGCGTAATTATTTTATACAAATTCGTATATTAATTTCTAATTAATATTCATGGTTGGTTTTCTTCAAGTTCATCCTTTTAAACAGACAAAAACATTAGTTTGAATTTCTTATTCTTGTTATTCACCAGTTGAGGTAGCATGTCTGATGTCGAAAATATCAACCAAAATGTGGATCAATGCTAATCATGTTTAATTTTTCTTAATTAATTCAAAATAGACTCTAAATAATCCCCATCTCTAGATATTTGTATCTTGTTAAAGGTTAAACTTGCTTGTTATTATTGAGAATTATATATATATATATATATATATAAAAGTTTCATGTTTTTGCAAATAATGCAAAATAACACATTTTAAGACATATATGAGTCTTCACTAAAAATGATTTAAGAATAAATATAAATATTTTATTACCAATTTTATATATAAATGGTTTAAAGTTTAGTCAATATTATTTATATAAATAATTTTTTTTAATTTTAATCAATTTATACATAAGATTTATAATAAAATATTTATTTTATTTGTAAGTAACTCTTTATTTTCAAAATACCATTGTGATAACAATTTTTTTCGCATAGTTCAAGTCACATCATGTCTTATGGAACATAACAGAAGTAAATGTTTACAGTAAATATTTTTATCACAAATAAAAAGCATTTACAGTAAACAAATAATAAAACCATGTGAATATTTTGACAAATGAAAAAGTGATTTATTTATTTTAGATGCGATATTGATGAAATTAATATTTGTATAAGGATAGGATCTTTCGTAGTAATAGACAAAAGAGATATTTTAATATTTTATTGAATGATAACTTGCTGCATTATGCTTTGTTCCTGGATTTTAGTTATTGAACTTTGCAAAGTTAATAATAAAATAAACTTTTATTTTGTATGACACCAGTTTGAGATCCAAACATGTATTATTGAAAGGGTAATGAAGTTTTTCATTTGGATTTGTAAATTTATGTTTAATCATTAATTAATATTACACACCCTCTCTGTTATAGTGTGATGGCATTTAATATTATTTTTTAAAATTGTGTTTGTTAATATAATTTTTCAAGCAATTTTGTTTTTTTTTCAAATAAAATAAATTATCGAATAACCAAACATATATTATCTTGAGGAAAAAATTGACAATGTATTAAGTAAAATGATTTTTACGTAAAATGAAAACTTTCTTATACATCCAAAGTTATGAAGTAAAATGATTTCTGCGATAATTAAATTTTTTAAGACATTTAGTGCATCTTTTAGAGCATATTGTTTTTGGCAAATTTATTTTAATGTTTAGTTTAGTATTTTTATGTTAATTATAGCTGATTAATTTATTTGAAGCTATACAAATAACTAAATTTAAATTGGTAACAAATTTGAAAGCTAATTATACATTACCAAGGATTAATAAGGGATTTGCGAATGATTAACGAATTTGATATTGGAAGGAATTTGTGAAGGATTAATGAAACAACTTTTGTGAGGGAATTGTGAAAGATAAACTAAAGAACTTTTGTAATAAAATTGTAAAAGATTTGCGAAACAATTTTTCTAAAGGAATTGCAAAGAATTAATGAAGAAATTTTTATGAGAGATTTATTGACTATTAATGACAAAGTTATTATGAGGACTTTGCTAGAAAATAACAAGGAAGTCGTAAAATAATATTTAGTTAAAGAATATATGTGATTATTTGCAGCAAAATACTAATGAATTTAATGTTTTTTAATAATAAACTTATTATAATAAATAAATTTAATATTTTTTAAACTAGATTGGTTATTAAACCGATAAAAATAGAAATTCAGAATTTAAAGATTTAATTAGTTTTATCAAATTTAATAAAATAATATTTTTATAAAATTAATTAATTAATAATAATATTTTTTATAATAAAAGTTAATAAAAAATACTATTATAAAAGTTATAATTATAAAATTTATTAAAAAAATTAAATAAATAATTATTAAACTAAAATAAAAATATAATAAAATAATTATTATTTAAAATTAATATAATTGATATGAGATAAAAAAATTAAAATATATTATATATTTTATAAAAAGTTTAACTTCAAAAAATCTATTTATTTTTTTATTAAAACTAATTTAATCCAAAAATCTAATTAAATTTTCGATTTTATTTCAATTTAATTAAAATATAATTATTTAACAATAAAATACCAATTTCTAAATAAATTCCGGATTAAATCGATTAAATCGCCTGTGCTTCTTCGTCCCCAAATATTGTACATTAAAATAAAACCTTTATCTTCACTGTTTATTTTATCTTAACCTAATAATACTAATAAGTAAATCAAATTAATCATTAGATAAAAAATTAAATAAATAATGAAGATAAAAATGATAACTTCTTTCTTCTCTTTTCATATAAACGTTAAAGTATGTATAATAATTTTTTTATTAAAAATTTATTGTTTGCAATGAATTTAATAAATGTGTTATATTCCATATAAGTAACCGTTGATAATACATCAATTAAAACATTAAATGCAAAGAAAAAACAGAAGAAGATATGTGTAGTTATTAAATAAAATATGTAACAATTGATTTTGTTATTTATTATACATTGCTTCCTATGAAAATATATATTAAATAAATTTTTTATTATAATTAATATAAAAATAATTTTTTGTTTATTTATGAAAATGCTACATCAATAATATTAAATATAAATAAGAGAAGAAAAACGTACTGGTATTAAGTTTATAATTTATATCAATGAAGTTTATATAATTAATAAATATTTATTACATTCAATAAATATTGTAATAATTTAAAATTAATTATATAAGTAATTATACAATGATATAAATATTAAATAATAATTAAATAATAATTTTTATTCATTTTTAGGTATTTTTTCTTTAAATAAATATGTAAACTTTTCATTTTTTTCTTTATATTTCTTTATTTATTATCGTACCTAAAATAAAAAACGATATTTGTTTAATTTTGTTTCCTAACTCCTTATTTTTAATATATATATATATATATATATATATATATATATATATATATATATATATATATATATATATATATTGAAAGAGAAAATTTACTTAATTTAAAATTA